AATGACTGTCAGCACAAAACGATTCGAACTTTATATCACAAGCAATGTTAGTAAATCGTGAAACTGTTTTACGTCGTCTTAGGTATTCCGAAATGTCATTTGACAAAAAGCGTTTAGAAATGTTTACTGAAAAATGACTGCGTGGAGGGAGGAGTATTATTCACAATATGAATATGTTAGGCACAAACAGAATTTTGAATATATGGTTAAGAGTTTAACAGAGGAAATGAGTACAGATCAGTCCTACAGCTGCTGAACAGCAGGCCGTGAGAATAAGCTGGAAACGATATTGCGTAAATGAACATGATCAACTGTGCTTACGGATGTGGAGTTTTGCGTTCTCCTCATTTGCTGTTGATATGGAGTTGTCAACAACAAGGAAATAGCCATGAATACAAATAGGCAATGTCTAATTATTAAAGCCCATGAAATTGGCTTCATAGGAGCACTTCTCTTTTCCTTACTCAATAAAGCAGCTTTATTGAGAAATTACGAAATCGATACTCTTTCGGCATCTACTGAACGGTGAACTGAACTGAACTCATGTGTTCAGAAAGTGACTGTCGTTACTCTTTCTCTACCATTTGGAATACTTCAGTCGTCTTATTTTCAATAATTGAATCATGCCTCGTTTGACGGTTTCATTTCGCACACTTCAATACTTTTCACCACTCATACTCGATAGCTTACTGTCTGACTCCTACTCACCTTACTTGAATGTCCTAGCTCCATCTTAATTATATAGATTCTTGTGATTGTTCACCTCCATTTTATGCGCGATATCTTTTGTCAAGCAAAGAATATTTGAGCAAACTTCCTAAGAAATCGAACAACCTTCATTTTCAGGTTGATCTGTTGAGGAATGTGAACTCTAATTAAATTGATGTTATAATTGTTCCGATAGCATTGTAGTTAATAGAATTAAGATTCAAGAATAGAAATTGGTGACCACTGATGTAGGTGATATTATTATTTCTTTTCAACTTTCCTAGTTTCAATTTCTATTCCTCAGTAACTACATCTCATTAGATGATAGGGTCTGATGATGAGGATTTTCAGCACAGTCTGCATCCTCTCCTCGTGAACCATCCTCAAAATACCAGCTCTGGAATTATTCTAGGGTAGCTGTTCTCGTTAGTACGTGTTTTCTATCGTTCATAACTCCACAGTCACACTGCTGACTGCACAGACAAAGCCTCTTACGGAAATTGCTGCGACAACCACTGCCATCATACGTCGCATGTAACCATGGTCCACTGGCACATTTGTGAAATTGAATGTCACTTCGAAACTATACCTAATGACCTCATGATGCAATGAATTAAATGTGCTAGTCAACCGATTTGTGGACTAACTTTGTTGTGGAATAAACATGTCCATTCGAATCTTGCAGTTCTTTCACAATCCACACACCATGTGTACCATCGAATATATGAATTCGACAGATAGAAACATAATTATTTCATAATCCATGAATCGCATTCGCTATCTAATTTGTGATTGAAATGGACGCGTAGATATTTCAAGAAAACCTGTGAGCGGCCTATTCATTGACTCTTATAAGTGGAGACGTTTTGCCATAATCAACAATTTTTCAATTATCCTCAAACTTAAGTTTCATGGTCAAAACATTCGATATCCACCTGGAAATACTCTTCGGTTGAAGTTAACACAAAATATGGATTCACCATTTCCAATATACAGAAAGCTGCTTCGTGGTGTTACACCAGATGGACTAACAAGAGTGATTTCACATCTGTATTTCTGGAAAGTCGAGTTTCATCATTGGTGGACTAATGGAGTTCTAAATAATTGTTTCTAAAGGAATGCAAATATGATTCTACAATAATTTGTTTATTGAATATATCACACGTTGAAAGAGTAGAATCTCTCGATTGTAACTACAGAAATTCGAATTTTGACTTCTACAGTTCTCCTTCACTTCTCCTTTCTCCTGACTTGTTGTAGGAGCAGTAGAATTTCTCGGATATTTGGGACATGTGTTGAATCATTCCCACTGCAGATATACTCAGTTGCTTGGATAAACAAACATCAAGCTTTCAATGTGTGCCTCCACTCTTTGTCATTCGATTTCAGATCTGCCTTCTAATCCTATCCTGTTTTCTGCCTGTGTGTAACTGCACATAGTGCTACAGCCGAACTATTAATTAGACTTATTATCTTACTTGGGTCAAGTGATCTGCATTTGGCTAGTTCTTTAGACCTCACAGATATAAATGTCTCCATTGTGGCTACTGCTCTGTTTCTCTTCTCCAATAAAAATTGTAGTTGAATGAGCTTAGTTAAATTCTTCCGACGTGTCGTACCACCTGTATGTAACAAGACCGACAGATCTTAATGTTCATCCGGAAAGGCTGATTCCGGTGAATTAATTTGATGGACGGCTATGTGTGGTTGTGTTTTGAACGGTTTTCCACAAGAAATGAAAGTATCGAAAGAGATGAATTTCAATAAGCATACTAGCTCATATCAATCAATACATCAGCGAAGTTGGATAAGCGTGAAAAAGGCACGTGAAGAGATGAATAGTTTCATGAATCAGTTTCATTCAAGGCTCGCATGGAAAGGAGGCAACTGTGGTTTTCTGTCAGAGTAGGAAAGAGGAATACGCCTTCCATATGAAGTGAGACCGATCTGTTCAGAGTCTTTAGAAAAGGAACAATTTTACATCCATATCGTACTAGTGGTAACGAGACAATCTAAAACGCTTGTCGAGAGACAAATGAACAAACATGTAACAGGGTGAAATCTGTCACAGTTGAAAGAAAACAGTTACTAATGAAGCTTCGAACTTTTGAAAAGAAACGTCAGGAAATTAGAGGGAAAATAGGGAGTGCACTTAAGATATCGTATAAATGAATTCCCGTTCAGTATCTGTACAGTTGAAAAGTGCTTACATTTGGTTCCACAAGCTGACGTAGCTAGCATTTTGTCTAACAGGACTTAGTGATAGATGTGAGATTGAGAGCAGATTATATTTTCTAAATTAGGATATGAAGATTCACAGGTGTGGTGGAGATGTCAAACAATCACAAGGGGCATGGAAACCGAAATCACACAGGCCTCGATTTATGGTCGTGTATCATGTCAACTAATTACTTCCGACAAACGGGTGTGTTCAAGAGATGCGTAGAAAGAGAATGAAATGTCGTTTTGTGAATGAAAGTTGAAGAAAATGAGGCGACAGCTAAGAAGAGAGAAATGGAAGAAAGTCGATGATATATATGGAAGCTGGACAAGTCTCTCCTTAATTCACAGCTCTCACATCTCCATACACTTACTCAGGGATTCGATAGTGCCTAGAAGTGGGATTTATACTACCCGCGGTACATCTGTTGTTATTATGTTGTTAACTCCAAAGGATGTGTCAGTCAGGATATAGTGACAGGTGCTGACGCAGTGCGCGGTTATAGCAATCAAGACTGAATCAGCATAACCTACAAACAACCATGCTATGTAGCTTTCTCGAAACCGTTTTGAGGGGACACAGAACCACCTAGATGCTCGGCTCAACAGTATCCAGTTTCAGTCCCATAGTTCTCGTCAGTAAACCAGAGAAACCTGATATCGTCTCAAATATGAGTTGACATATTTTGACATGATCGCTTTCAGTCAAATGTTATTCAGCAGTCTCATCTGGTATGATGGATCATGCAGAAATATTCGTCGCAACTGACACAACTCACTGGTAGCAGATATCGGTTTACTGAAGAAACCGAATCTCCACCCTTAGATATTGGACACAAAACGCTGATGACATTGCAAGCGTGTGCTATCGGACATCGTTTTCCATTAGGCGTGTAGGTCAGCTAATATCTCTGGCTGAAATACGATATGATTCCATCTGTGCAGACTGTAGATGAATATAACTGCTGGCGAAATCCCGAAACATTCCCAACAGAATTATTATTATTATTATCACTATTATGGGTCATTCCTTGTGTTCCTGGCGAAATATTGGGTTTCATTCGCACATATCCAGTACATACAGTGCAGTTCACAGTGTACTTAACATTTTCTGAATACATGAATTACACAGCAACGTGAAATTTGTCTTAGTGTAAAGAACACAGAGATGAGTGATGCTTATGAAATGTCCATCAACAGGATATATATTGCAAATTGATTGGACGGTATCTTGTGTTTCACTAAACAGACATCTAACTGAGGATCTGTTATGTCCTCTACTTGGTAGTAGATTTTTAATCGTGTGCAGCTATAAGAAGTGAAATTCAACATGACAGCGAAGGATGGGTTATTGGTGCATCATTATAGTACAGGAAATCCCAGTCAAGTGATGTGCTACCATTACTAACTAGCGGCCACCGATTGGTCGTAACCTCGGCAGGCTATGAGCCTCCTCTCTCACCGTCAATCCATACATCTTTTCAAGACACATGAGGAAGTTATGCCTCTAAAATCAATTACCTCAAAACCATATATTATCTGAACTGACATATCTGGCTTACATGTACAACCTGAAGAAAAGCCATGCTAAGCGGTGCTCACACTAACCAATGCTGGTCCATCACGAACAAGTATGTCTCCTGAATGTCATTAACTACTTGTGATATGCCGAATAGTCATTCACACTGAAATCATGGGAAACGTGTTGCGTAAGAATGAATGTATCCGGTGTTAGTGGATATCAGTTTCGAGTCCAGAAACAACTGATGTTGGCACCACTTATCATTATCCACTGACAAGCGAGTTTTTCATCAGTCTGGATTAATTCGTGTTCAGATCAATGGTGATGATACCTGAATGTTAGCTGAGAATTACTTTCTTTTAGTCATTCCAAACCCAAGTCTACTGCTCTAAACTCAGAACTGTGCTCACTACATTTGTTGAGTTTGTAGAACACCTTGAAAGAAAATCACTTGTTCAAATAAGAAGGTAGTAGATTACTTCGTAAAATTTGTTTATTTTCAGTGATTCACGGGATCCAGTACAACGAGGTTTAGTCATCGTCAACATCAGCCAATCTTATCTGTGACTCACCCAAATCGAATACAGTGTAAAACTTGCTCATGAATACATCGCCGAGAACCCAATATCCAGAGGGTAATTTATCATTGCTGGCAAAAGGTGATGTGCAGTCTGTATACAGCCAGTTTTCCTCCTAAAATCGAAAAATACAACGAATTTCCTTCAGTTTCAGACTTTTAAGTCCTGTAAAGAAAATTGAGAACAACCTTAGTGAATGTCGAATTGGCCTAATTCCACAGCCAACTCCAACTTATCCGTACACAGGCAGTGTACGTTCCTTTGAAGTCGACACGGATATGCTGATTACAGTTGACAGTTACTTATGTAAAATAAGGGAAGCGGATGAAGTTTTAGAGAATTATTTGAGTTTGAGAAGAATGATTGACTGCATTTTCTAGAGAGAAGTGGAAGATAAGAACGTGGTGAGGAACTGTGATAATCTGAAATTTATTCAACAAATTAGGGGAACTGTGATAATAATTAATTGGTGCTGGTGATTCCATAAATGAATTTTAATTTATCTGGTGATTCCTTCCATTCGTGATATCAGAGTTAATCGACTGGCTGGAAATAACACCTTACAAATCATATTGAGGTGAGAGCTGGCTGCTAGCCAAAGTTGGTAGACAGTAATTGACGTCAATGTTTGTGTCCCCAATATTGGTGGTAAGAAAATGACAACAAAGGCTTTGCGTAGGCGGATACAGTTAGCATATGGATGATCTGACACAGCCACAAAGAGATGCAAGGTTAACTTTCTGTGAGAAACAACCAATCAAAAGACTGTATTTTCTACTAACAATAATCTACAATAATGTACATTAAAATCTATAAATATGTGTTGATTTTCCTCAATAAACGATCTGTTACCTGACCCTTGTCTTCTGTTGTTACAATATTAGAAGCTCACATTTTCTACAAAAAGACGTTCACTCTAGCCAATAAGTGACTGATATCAAACTAAAATGTTCGCATGGATTTCACAATACTTGGCTGTCTGTTGAGTGAAAACTAGTGACATTGATGAAGACGTTTTCTCAGATTGTTGATCACAGGGGAATCACAATGTTCAACTGAATGATTATACTCACCTTAAGCACATAGTCCTTCGGGTCAAGTACATAGGTCCTCTCCCTGAAGACAAACGTGATTGTAGGAAGCGTGTGAATGTAATTACAGTCGAGTGAATACTCCCCTTCACCACTCCATCTGGCACCAAGATGATCATTCATCACATCCACCGCTCTACTATGTCCCAGTATCAAAGACGTTCCAGTATCTATAATACCAATACATGTTCCAAGGCAAAAGTCTGCTCCAGCTATCTTCATGCTAAACATGGTAAAATAAACACAACTGAAACATTAACCAGTCAATTCAACGAAGAGGGTATTGGTCTAAATTAATCCAATCACAAAACTCCTCGTCCTAATAATCAACCGCAATGAGATAACTTGATCCTGCTAAGCTATCTCCACACAAAACAGATTTCTCTGTCTGTTGGTTCACTTTCAGCTCTCATCGGAATTTCCTGCACCCTGAGCCAATAACAGCCTTCACCAAATCATTCTAATAACTTTCTTCATTGGAATACCCGTCAACATATGCTAAAAGTATGCACACCATGAAAGTTTCTACCCGAGATAGCGTGAGACAACTTGTCTTCACACCATCAGCATTTCGATTGCGATTCATTTCGTGATACACCACTCAGGTGGACACCGGAATAAAATCAAGTAGATGACATTTTCTTCGATAACTCAGTGAAGGACAGCCACTAAGTATTTATGCCAGCATCTGTGTGTTTATCGGCATGTGTGATGTAGTTTGGTAGAAGGGGAATCAGTTTTCATGTGTTGAAGTGATGGTGGTCAAATGACTAGTTTACCTGTTTGTAGCAGAATAACTCAGATATAATCCACCTCTCAGACATTAGACATGCAGAATAACCGTCTACTTATTTGTCATCTAGAATTTTCAAATCATCTCTCCTCCATTAGATGTTTGCATGAATGAATCAATGACATTTATTACTATAAAAGTAAGAATTGTTGTGTGTACTAAATATACTTTGCTTAGAAGACATAACTGTGATAACTAGTCCATATATTCTATGGTTTCAATATCCACGTGAAATAAAAATGATATGTCTGCCCATGAAATCATTCAAGCATCAAACGACTACCTTTTGATTATAACAGACCAATTGTGTTCAGAAACGACAGGCAAGTTTTCGAAATCTCCAATAAAATATTCAGGATTGACACCACCAATCACCATCTCTCCGCCAACATGACCACTCTTCCTACAAAATACAAAATACGAAAACTGTGCTTGGTTTACTTGGCTAGAAGTGAGTTCAACTTCTTGTCTCTCCAAATTAATGTGAATAGTAATCATGATAGACATGACGCACATATTTGCATGAAATCACAAAATTCAATAGTTGTTTCTAACACTCCACATTTCAATGGCATTTAAGTTGCAAATGAAGACCATGTAAGGTAAGACTTCTAATCTCAGGCAGTACTACTTTTCATATATAATGTCTAGTGCAGTGTGCACTAGAAGACACTACTCGTGACAAATAATCCTCCCGAATACGCTGTCTGTAACACCAGATGCGGGGACAGTTTCGAACATTTCATTGAGAATGATCGTACTGGACAAATGGAGGAAACACTATCATCAGTTGCGGTGAAACTGAAGAACGAATTCGATTTAATTTTTAGCCCTAAGATATTTGAGCACTGAAAGTTCTCGGATTCTGTTAATCGCTGTGTGAATTGTTTCTTGAGAACACATCTAGAGAGGGTGTCAATACTTCTGGTTTCACACAGGGATAATTTTCGCTCAGTTATGAATCAACTTTGGAGCTATGAATCGATTGGAGGATGTGTGGAGATATATTACTGTATTGAGGCAATTCAATGAGTGTCCGTAATTAACTTGCTCAAATGGAGCGAGTCATATACACCCTGAAAAATGAACTTTGTCAAGTATTTCTCCACACGCTTATTCGAATATGGTCTTAAACTAATACTTGTTCCTTGGATTCCGAATTTATTTCACAGCGGAGATTCATCTCATATATTTATATAAAGATAATCTTATCTATTTGCTTATAAGTGGATCTAAATTCCGAATAACTAAATATCGAGTCACATTAGTCACACCAGATAGATATGAATAGCAGTACACTACTCACATATCTAGTTATTATGAGCCGTTGATTGCAAGTGTAATACTACCACGATGTAATTCAGAACCTACCGATTCAAATAAAACGAAAATACTGGATCCATATCCTTTGATTGAGAGAGTATATTCGGGAAGAATGGAAGGTTCCCATATCTTGATACAATCCTCCTTGACATACCAACGATTCCATCATACTTACTACCAAAGAAATCGTCCGAAAACACATTTGTCACTTCAGCAAACGGCTGATTGCGAATAACTAAGGAGTTTATCTGAAACCAATGTCACTTCAAGTCGTAAAACCACAATACCTGCATTGTATCCATACTCCAAAATCCAGAGTAACTGCCAATCAGGTAACTTATATTAAATTTGGTACCATTCGGCTGGAAGGTGGATGATTTCGAACTGTCGTAGAATCGAATGAACCAACACGGAATGTCAAGAAACCAACATTTTCTTGAGGGAAGCCAAGTTTCGATTGATCCTGTATCGAAGAGTACACGAAACTTTTGTGGTGGCGTTCCCACTAGTAATTCTCCATAGTACTGAACCTGAAAAGGAAATAATGAATGTGAGATTTGGAAAATCGCCTGTGATTTCAATGTCATGATGAACTAGTCTACATTATTGACAATAATATGTAGTTTAAAAAGACTTCTACCAATATTTGATTGATGTATCCATGTGTGGAATAACATTAAACTGAAAGTCATCGAAGTATTGACAATACAATCTGGAAGATTTAACAATCCAGATAATGAAATCTAACCGAAGAAAGAATAGAAGTAAAGCAGTGTGGAAGAGTATCGATCCATTATCAAATACTTTTATTTTGTGTCACGTTGTTGCGGTATTATTTATCTACACGTGACATCGAATCCACGGTGTTCTGCAGACTATCGTGTCACCTTAATATCTAGTTTGTAGTCGTGATGAGAATTCATCGAACCGCTACCAATGTGAGGCAATAACACGTAGACATTCTCCTCAAATTAACACCTGCTGGTGATATAGTCAGGGGAGAAATTCACAACAGCTTATTTCCCTATTCACACAGTATCTACGAAATAATCTGAGGTACTCTGATTCTGCATTCCATAACAAATATTTCAATACTTAGACTTACATTGTTTATCTAGTACTGCAGATTCAGATAACACTCAAATCAACAAGCATTTACTTCATTACCGAAAGTTGACTTACATTGTCATAATTATACAGCGGTTCTGATGTTGGTGTATCTCCATCACTAAATAAATTCATCCAACTTCGTTGGAATACCCTGAACAGTCTCCGATATGAATTCATCATTGAACTGATTCCAGTCACTGGATGCAATGGAATCTTGATAATCTCAGAATTCACATGATACAGACAGATGAGAAATATGATCAGTTTCATTGCAGTGAATACAAGAAGCAGACGCGAAAACGTTGACGATGTCTTTCTGTCTAAATGTACACACTCTTATATTAACATGCTCGTAACAACGAAATTTCTGATTGGAGATCACTGTGATTTTGTTTGTTGTCAGTATGTTTGTGAATGATGGCAAATATGAACATGCTTTATGAATAACTAAATATATGCGATTTACGTGTAACTGAGTCCTCTTAGCACAATGGACTTACGATGTGTGAAAAGATATTTGATTCACGGAATTTCGACTTTCTTTCTGAATGCTTCAAATAGGAAATATTTCAGCGAACAATTCTATCCAATAACTTGGTTTTTGGTTCGAACTGTTTCAAATCTGTAAACATAAGCATATATCAAGTTGACTGATGCATTGTCCACCAGGCAGTATGTAATAAAGCCCATTTCATAATAAAATTATTATTGGTATTATTTGAGGTATCGAAATCGGTCTTGTGGAACTTCACACCAGGTGTTGAAATATTTTTATTAATCTACTGATCCTATTAATCGCATTGACTTCAAATTCCTTTGCAAGATGTATACTTTTTATGAACTATTCTACGTGTCATATAATCTGTTTACCACTGGACATGTCAATATAATTACAATCAGAAATATTTCACCTCACTTAGTACTTATCAACATAAGTATTGGCGACTTTTGTTCGAATTTCGTAACAGGATATAGTTTGTTAAAATTCAAATATATATACGGGTGTACAGCTCGAAAATAAATTCATTGGAGAGTGTCTCCTCACTGAATCCTGTGTTTAAGATTCCTATTCGTACATATCTGTAGAAGTCTTTCCAAATTCTTCTATCATTCAATGCACTTTCAAAATACCAAATCGACTCCCTTCAAGCTGTTTCAATTATCTCTAACCGTAATGTAGCTCACCAGGCTGCTTGATCGTTAAACAATTTGAATGGCATTCGTTAGTTCTTTAATTTAGGGCGAACGACTAATTCTTCGTTTCTTCTGAGAAATTTGATTTCACATTTGTTAAAATTTACTGTTCTTTAGTTCACTGTACTAATTATTCAACTTCACACAGCGAAACTGTACTAGATTACTAGCTGCTCTGAGTCCCGGAAAAGAGAAAATGTTGTTCATGGGGGGTTGTGAACCTACTTCGGACAGTCGATCCCATCTCTACAGAATCCTGAAAACAAAGAATAGATATGAAGAATAAACCTATATTCTACCAGGATAAAATATACAAAATGCTGCGTGTTGGAGAAAGATTTCATGAAGTCAACCAGCCGAAGTGTCTGCTTTCGACAAAAACGGAAACAAGCATGAAAGAGTGGAATTATTGGAGCTGTGAAGCTATTGAAGGCTAATCGGGAAGGAGGCGGAACCAGACGGACGTTCATCAGCAAATTCCTTCTCTGGCTCGATGCTTTCAATAGAATGGTTGACGAGAAATTATAAAAAATATGTGTCAACGAAATAACCGACAACCCGTTGGTTGTGAAATATACAGGAAGACATAGAGATGGATTGGGCATTCGCTGATTAGACCGTTGAGTGATAGTAAACGACAGGCAATCTAGTGGAGGGCGAATGGGAAGCAACTAGTTGGATATGTGTCGGAGGCTGACATTGAGGAGATCGTGTGAGAAGGAGATGGAAGCTTTGGTTCAATCATGGAGCCATCGAAAAGAGACTACAGAACAACAGAGTGAAATTGAGATGTGTTTTACAGAAGCCCTATTTCCCACATCTTTCTTATCACAAGAATTTGCAACATCCCCTGCTGTTACTTTGACAATGGGGAGAAGAACACTTCGATTATGCGACTGACAGCTTCATGCGTATCCAGGAATTAACCTTTCTTCTTGAATTTTCTCCCCCTAAACCCCACTCAACCCATTCGCATTCAGACACTACTAACTAAGAAGTGTTTTTGATGACAGCATATTTTGATATGATTATTAGCATAGGCTTATTCAGAGCAGAATTTTTTCATACTGTAAAAAATTACCAGAGTATTTTACTGCGTAATACTCACAATTTGTAAAGGATCTTCAAGCGGACTTGTGAGTGACAGAATCTCATGTGACGCAGTGGCGTTGATCTGCAGAAAAATCCAACTTCCTGGCCAGAAACACCGGAGAAATGAGAATTTTGTGTAACTAAGTTATGTAACACAAATTCGAAAAGCGCGTCAAGGTCAAGCTCAATAAATAAAAGCAGCAGAGCTGTGTCAAAGGCGATCCACGTGTTATTTAAACAGCGTGTGAATGTCAGACACAGAATAAGTGGGTATGAACAAACAGTGCCCGACGGTAATGAGTACACAAATAAAGCATATAAAGCAGATAATGTAAAACTGTAAGAAATTAATTACTATACATCAAATAGAGCATAAGTACATTGAGTTAAACTTCGATCGCAAACTAATCCGTTTTTAAGAAGTCAGAAAATATAGTTTCGACTACTTACTAATGACGAGTAGTATAAAGTTGAACACAAATTAAAGAATTGCAATGGACAGTAAGATAAGACATAACACGTGCACCCTGAAATCCCCAAAGTTTGAGGAAATATATCATGCCGGTATTGTGAAGAGATTGACACGTGTGTCATAATTTGGCATCACAGTACCGCAAAGTCCATCAGTAAACATCAAAATACCGACAATTAGCTGAGGGTATCTGTAAAGCCACGTTTCATTTCCTTTTAAATGTTACTAGTTACATTTGCTCCGGAAGTACCAATTTGTAGTAAACATTTCTTAGATTCAGCAGAAGGAATGAAATGCAATACAAGCACACTGAATACTAAGAGGAGCATTCATCTAGGATACTGCGGTTTCCTTCCAAATGGGCTAGATCCTATAGTTTGTAGTCGGACACACACATACGATTTGTCCAAAATACAGTTGTATATTACACCTATAGAATAACTAGTATATATACATTTTAGAATGTGAGGTATTGAGTGTGAACGCCGCCTAATGCACTGTCACTGTGGTTCAATACAGAAACACAGCAAAGCTCTACCCAATACGGGATCCGCGTGGAGATAGAATCAACACGCGAATGAAGAGGACGAGAATCAAATGGATTCGAATAAACAATGTTCATTTTAACCTTGCGTAGATAATTACTCCAGTCCAAATGGAACGTCTGTACAATAAGTAAGTTACTTTCCAATGGAATTCAGTAACTGTGGTTAAGGAGTAATAAAGCGCTATTTTTAAATCAATCTTTCTACTTACTAGTGGTAAGTAGTATAAAGTTCAACAAAAATGAAATGGAGATAAAGACTATCTAACCTCTTCTCAGTGAACCATGATGAGGTTTGATGAGCTCGCTAATTTAGAGGTCACGTTAATGAACAGACAAGAAAGGGGAAAAAGTGTGTCCCTTTTATTTCTTATACTGCTGTATAATTCCACAGTTCTCATTTATTCACGTCGCCAGTGAATAATTTGTTTGTGGTAAATGCATGTTAGCCGTGTACGTGTTTTATTAAGAAGAGAGAAAACGTTAAAACACATACCTATCAAAATTTACACTAGGACAAGCTTCAGAATTCTCTCATATTTCGATCAGATGTTCTGCTCGTGATCCAACCAACTGTTGGACTTGTTTTCAATTCATCGAACAAACAATATCACTGACAGTCATTTTGCTCTGAATATCAGTAAAACCAAAAACATATCATTCTGTGTATACAACCACTGAAATAAAATTATGATTAATTGGTCTATTCCGCCACGCACGGACTTTCCACAGACATTATTCCTCATCAGTGTTTGATGAATGCGTAAGAACAGCTTATTCAGTTCAATGTTGCAGGGAAAGATATCAGTTAACAAGTATTAAGTTATAAATTAATTCACCCTCAACGCTTAGTAGAATTTCTCAATGAAATACTGCCAACCTATCATTTACATTTATGTAGTGACATATGACACCCCACCAAAGCTACTAATAACATAAGATCTTTTCAGGTCACCAACTTAATTCGATAGGCTACCTTAATTTCCGTCCAAAATAATATATGAAATTTTCTCAATTTCTTTTGTTTAAACCATTCAAGCATACCCTGATTCTGCAAAATGGACTTCTCGAAGGTGATGGATGAAAATTATTGGTTAGAAATTGGTTTTTTCTGCAGATCAGCACTACTGAGTCACATGAGATTCTGTCACTCACAAGTCCGCTTGAAGATCCTTTACAAAGTGTGAGTATTACTCAGTAAAATACTCTGGTAATTTTTTATAGTATGAAAAAATTCTGCTCTGAACAACCCTACATTATTATTATTATTATTCATATTAAAATATGCTGTCATCAGAAACACTTATTAGTTAATAGTGTCTGAATATGAATTAGTTGAGTGGGGTTTAGGGGAGAGAAAATTCAAGAAGACATGTTAATTTCTGGACAGTGATGAAGCTGTCAGCACTTATAATTTTCCACCATCGCACAGTCGAAGTAATATCCCCCCCTTTGTCAAACTAACAGTGGCGGGTGTAGAAAGTTCTTATGATAAGAAAGATGTAGTATGGCATTATGATTACTGTTTCCTTAGATTAAGAGGGGGAAATAAGGCTTAAGCAAAGCATATCTTCACTTCACTCTGTTGTTCTGCAGTCAATTTTCGAAGGCTCCATGCATGTAAAAGAATTACCATCTCCTTCTCACACGGTCTTCTCTATGTCGCCCTCGGACACACATCCGACTCGTCGCTTCCCATTCGCCCTCCACTAGATTGCCTGTCGTTAACTATCACTCAACGGTCTGGTCAGCGTATGCCCAATCCATCTCCATTTCTTCCTGTGTATTTCTTCAGGAAAACGTTCTCGGCTATTTCGCTGACACATATTGTTTTTAATTTCTCACCAACCATCTTATTGAAAGTATCGAGACAGAGAAGAAATTTGTCGATATACGTCTCCTTGGTTCCACTTCCTTCCTGATTAGCCTTCAATAGCTTAGCAGCTACAAAATTCTTACATTCACATGATTATTTCTGTTTTCGTCAAAAGGAGACATTTCAGGTGTTTCACTTCATGAAGTTCTTGGGGGACTTATCACATTTCTTACTCAGAAAGATCTACTTGGATTAAACGTCTACGTAAGTTTATTTAAGCAGTAGAGTAATGGAGTGTGGTTGGTGGTGATAGCTCAGTGCCTGAGAAATGAAAAAGTACACCAATACAACCAACCATGTGTAGCCACAACAACCAATCTTTCCAGAAAAAGCGCATACCGGAGAGATTCGGGAGATGTTACAAAGTGAGTGTCATGCTGCTCACTGTATGAGTTGATGAAAAGGGATCGGGTGCATACGACCATCTACGTAGCTGATTCCATTTTGCCAACATGACAAAGTATTAAAAAATATTACGATTGCACAGCTTCATAATTATACATGTATGTATACTCAAATATGTAATTGCATGCGGAGTATTCAGGTGAAGAGATCTACCGAAATTTGATGAATTTACTAAGTGACACTTCCTTCGCATTTGATGCTGGTTCCAAACGTAGATATGAATTCATATCGGTTCACACTTAACTATATCGTTTCGATGACGATGAGTAATCTTGATTGCGTCACCCCCTGCATGAAATGGGGCTAAATTTGTTGCCTCGTTCCTTTAAATTACAGTAAAATAACATGAGCATTTCGCGTAGATTTTAGAAAATATGGTGAGCCCGTTGGTGGGTAATTGGTCCTGGGTGGTATCAATCCTGAACATTTCACAGGAAAATTCGAAATTCTGCCTGTAACTTCTCAATCTTGTTGGGTAGTTGCAATGATAAGGTGATAAATTTGTGTATATATGAAATTAAACTGGCATACTTATTTATGTTTTATTGCTATATATGTCATGTGATAAAGTGAAGTGTTTGTACAACTTTAATTATTTGAATGTGATGGATCAGTACACGGGATCTCACATCTTCTATGAACTATTTCACCGAGTATATTGATATAATGAACCTACAACTTACAAAGTGTGAGTAGCTAGCTCTTGTCTTATCCATTTCTGCTGGAGTTTAAAGTTATGTTTTCAACCATTGAAATCAACGTGTTCTGCGGTCAGTATGCAGAGAATTCGTTCCTGTATTCCTCGACAAGTAGACTTCAATTTGGTCATACTGATTTTCAGTGATGCAATAAAAAGTGAGACGGGCAATAATACGAAACGTAATTAGAACAGGAGGTGTTCATTCAACTTCCGAATATCTAGTGTCAAGGAACCTAACCCTAAGTTCCTATTATTCGCGAAGACGCACCAAATCGATAAATACTGTGAACTCTAAAACACAAGGAGTTGTAAGAAAGAAATTGTATTGTATTGCGGGTAAAATCTTCATCGTACAAAAGTCTACAAGCAAATGTTTTACAAGGAATGTACTGTACTTTTATTCGTGTTCTTTCGTCTTCTTCCAACATGTACACGATTGAATCATTCGCGCCCTCGAGTCACCCGCCAATGGCGACCAAGGCGAAAGAACCAACGTCCAATGTACGTTCATTTACATTTAGTGTTCATCAACTACTGTAGATTGTGAAGTGGTTCACTCAGTTTGTCGGTAAATGCAATAGTGGCGAATTTCATCACTCACTTGTGAACGAAGCACTAAGTATCTACAGTGAGGATCTAATTTGTTGCAAATATTATGAAAATATCAGCGCAGTAAGGCCTATCATTTCGTCCACCACTGGTTTGATCTTGGTCAGGACAGACTGATGTATGACTATAGTAAGCTGTTATATACCTAACATTGTTTATTTGACAGAGTGTGATTGTGTGCATTTTGTCACACCTAATTTCCTGTACAAGTCTCAAGTGACGAGAATCACATGTGCATTTATGACTACTCCCGAAATTAATAGTCATTTTCCAATACAACGAATTATGAAGTTTAATTCCCAGAGTATTAAACATTCTGTGAATGCTGGAGACCGTAATACTTATTTTCAAAGAGTTTGATTCTCTGTTATCGTGAAAATATCTCAGTGTTGCAGTGAAACATTTTTCTGTAGAATATTGAGATAAAGTCGATCAATCAGTCAATAGATGTTTAGCAGAAATGAACACCCACAGATTGAAATAGGAATACACTTACACAAATCTGACGGCAAATGAGCGTCTTGAGTGAAGTTTTGAAGGTTTATGAAGGGAAAGCGAACATTTCGAGAAACCGTTTTCAGGTGTATTGATTTGGTGAACTGCCATTCATAAAAGTTTGGTCGGTGAGTATAAGTTCAACTTGGACTGATTGGTGTTGCTTCATTGTCTCTCAACTTTATGCAGTAGGCGTGTGGGATGCGCTCATCATGTTCTGCACTGAGTGGTGTGTGTGCGCCTTCAGTACACTTTCCGATGGCATTCACCACAGCCACTACCTTGGTCACTCTCCTGTACCTGAAATGATCATACTGATTCTTCCTGATCTTGGTGAGGCTGGCTGGTGACTCATTGACTGGTGTTTGTTGACAGCCGGTTTATTAGCTCTATGTGAGCTACAGTCTAATCAACTTGGTGCTAGCTGAAGCCAACCAGTCTGTATCTCAGTTTCGTTCATTTGAAACATTTGCACACAACTTTTTTATGGCAGTGTGTTGTGGTGTTGTGGAGGACCATCCACCTGACTCGTCTTGAAACATGGATTAACCGATTTCAAATATCCTCGGTTAACGGCATCATGTGAAACACAAATGTGACAGCTGTTACTAATCCCCAAATTGGATTGAGAAAGATATTGAAATACTGAGTATACGAGGATCATTAGTGTTTACTGGCACAAAGTTATCTCACCATCATCCATCCCCCTAAAGTATTCATGGATAAATAAAATGATTCACAAACTAGGGTGAAACAGCTGTCCAGTTCTCCCTGTTTTTCAATGGTTCTCTAGGTGATATCAATCCGTGATCAACTCATACCACATTATTATTTACAAAATCACCGTCATTGGTTTAAATGCTTGTGCATAAATCTATGTAAATTATAGTAAATATATTACTTGCACAAGCACTATGGTACTGATAATAACTGGTCAAGTGTTTGGAAAATCCACTAACTTAGATCTTTGGATTTCGAAGGGAATCGCATTTATTTCAACATGGATTTCATCACGAATATACATACACATATATTTTTTTCAGGAGTTATTTTGTAGGGATTTGATTCGTTTCAAGTTTGATCGTGAATTGATGTCATCTAGAGAACCACTGAAATCCAGAGGATACTAGAGAGCTGTTTCATCCTAGTTCAAGATACCACATCAGTATGCGCCCATTGAGATTCGGGCCTAGGACGTTTTGTTTTTTTAAGACAAGCTCGTAGGCGATTCAGCCACTAAAACCGGATTTAATGACCGGTCCATGAATTTCAACATACACCTGTTCGCGATTTCAGCGTGACCACCAGTCAGTGTCATCAGCGAGTATTTGTCCTCACTCCCAACTGAGTGGATCCCACTAGTCACTACTTTTCATTAGGACTCCCGACAACTTCGGCATTTACTCTGTCTGCTTATCCTAGACAATAATATTATTTACAATTTATTGTTCTAGCTCATCCTATTTAATTATTACTGATGAGAAATAAATAATTTGAACCACAGGAAAAGCTGAAATGTTTGGTATATGCTTGAAGAAGAGCTGAGGTTAGGTAAGACATCTTCCTGTTGCTGGGGGAACACTGGATGGCTACTGAAGGATAGAAACAGATGTACAGAGTAGAAAGTTTTCTTTATCGCCATAGGGCTATCTCCCTTGAATTGTCAACCTACAAGTAAAGGCTTTTTCTCCACAGTTGGATATCTGTTCTCGCTTAGAATATCCCTAGGATTCTTTCTCTACACAGTCTTTGGATAAAATCGACCTCGCTCTAAATACTAAGCACCTGGTCAGTTTACGTTTGTATTTCATAGATACGAAGCTAAGGAATGGTGTATATTGAGCTTTGGTCTCTAACTTCCTAAGTATGGTTCTTTTGACGGAGACATCCTCTCTTCTCGTTATTAAGGCGTTGAGAAACTGCAGAGAGTCGTTGTATTCTCCTTCGTAGGTGAAATGGACCTCCAGGTGAGCATTATTGAAGTGTCTCAAAATCAAACCACTAAGTAACCCTCATGATAGGGAATTATTTCACATCATTAAGACACTATATATTAGTCGTGAAGTCAAACTTCATTTAGTTGCCCTCATTGAGTAATGAGTGGGATAAAACTAGAAATGTATGGGAAATATCTGTTGGGATTCAACCATCTGTTCAATGCTCATTTAGTCTTGAAAAAGGAGGTATATCATTTGACACTTGATTCTATTTACATTCATTGTCTTAGGCTGAGACTTAATTCTTTCAAATGAACATTCATCATTATGGATGCAGTATTTGGCCATCTTCGTCTTTTCGGCACTGCTTACTTATCTAAAATCTAATATGAGGATCAGTATTAAGGCAACGGCTTGAGACCCAAGTGAAAGAAGAAGGCAGTTAAATAAATCAGGTTGTGAGTTTCATGTTCACTCAAATGAATTTATATAGATATTATGATAATTACAATTCAATTAAAATATTGTAAATTATGACAAGAGTACAATTCAGTTTCTTTCAGATATGAGAACACGGAAGTATATTTATAAGTTCACATAAATGAACATTGATTCTTTCACCATACATAACACTTTTCACTTGGATTCATTGGTGAGTCTTTTGGACAGTTGTATGCCTTTGAGAACATTTTGCTATTTGACAGGACACCGATTACTCTAACAAAAATAAACAGGAAAAATGATGGATTAAAGTATAAACTGATTTCATCATGAGCTGAAAACAGTTAGAGAACCACTGGAAAACCTGGGAGTGCTGGACGACTGTTTCATCCTAGTTTGGGACTCTTCGGCAGTACGCACCCACTACCGTGGTTTGAACCCACGATCTTCTGGTTACAAGGCTAGCGAGCTCGCAGACCGTTGATCCACTGGGACCCGCTAATCCAATGGCCAGTGTATGAATTCTAACTTCTGCCAATATTCACGACAGCGCGACAATTTCGCAATATCTTCTTCGATGAGTTACTGACTCATCTTCAACCTACTGTACCCTACTTGTCACGCCTCCCCACTAGAACCCCAGGTCACTGGCTGATTAGGGCCAGTCGCTAGTGATTATCAGATTAATTTTCAAGTATTGGTTTTGTAGGGATTTTGTTTTATTCGATGGAGGATTTCATCAATGGTCTCTCAATGGTCTATGAGCTCGCCTTGTAACCAAAAGGTCCTGCGTTCGAACCCTGGTAGTGGGTGCGTACTGTGAAGAGTCCTAAACTAGGACGAAACAGTTGTCCAGTACTCCCAGGTTCTTCAGTGGTTCTTTAACTGATGTCAGCTCATGATGAAATCCTCCATCGAATCAAACAAAATCCTTACAAAACCAATACTTGAAAATATACTGATACGATTAAAAGCTTAGAACGTTACAATGATTGTTGTTAGTACTATTTGTGAATTAAATTCATCGAAACGGACAATATATGTACATGTATATTAGAAGGTTGGAAACAATAGGCAGGAAGACTTGGACCTAGGTGTTCAATCAAAGTATTCATTACAATTCCACAGGAGACAAATCATGATCACAAATAGCTTAGTGGTAACGTCTCGGACTGAAGTATTGGGCGACAAGGGTTCGAATCTCACAGGTGAGATGAGTTCCTCCAAGGTTTCAGATACATGTTGCTGTCGATTGCCACCAGCCGTCTAATAAAAAAATTTAGAGTGCACGTGACGGCGAGCCACTTAGCATGTTGGTCACATTGCAAACTCGACTGATAGACTCAACTTGCACAAAATAAAGGACTATACGCATGACACTAATATAACTTATTACTTTGTGTTCACTATACATATGTAGTGAAGATTTTAAGATTTCATCGGTCACTGACATTTTAATAACTGACTGAAAATTTCAGCTTATTTTGATATTCATTATCAAGTCAGACAATCTTTTCTGAATTAAATGATAAACAGCAAGTTTACCGTGGGAAGTTTGGCATATTTCTGAAGAAGAAGAAAACAAAACTACCAAACTCTTACCTGTATTGACCTATCACGTGTTCAGTATCACTCATATGTTTAAATAATCCTTGTAAAGTATACTTCTCACAGAATGTCTGGAAAACGAACAAACAAACAGACCAAGAAATAAACAAACCAAAAGATGAATTATCTCTCAAGCTTTAGATGATCATGTCATATTCACTTGCATGCAGCATTTTAAGGAACTAAATGTCGCCAATGTTGACATTCAAAAGGAAAGAAGTGGCTCTTCTTTATCATTTGCTTGATTTCCAACACGAATATTCTGCATTTACAGGTAAATCATGATACCCACTGATAATTGTAGCGGTATGAAGTGATGAAGACAAAGGTCTATCAATTACCTAATTTGGGAATATTTTCAATGAATCTAACAAATCTTAATAGGTGATTTCTATAATCCTACATAATCTCGCCTAGTTTACCAGACGGTCGTATGCACAGTGAAACGGCGAGATTTTGGATTGGAACTAACGACTCTACCTCAGAAAATCAATCCAATCACTAGAGAAACTTCAAATCACAGCAAATATATATAATAAAAACGAACTTTCTCTTCGTTGGAATCAAGAAACAGAATGATGTGGGATGATGAAAGTCTTAGGGAAGCCAGTTTTTGTCAATGTGTCTTCTTTTGACGATAGCGAAATTAAACATGTAGGCATGGAATTTTGAATGATTTTCGAAGTTGGGAAGGTTACTCTTGTCACAGAAGAAATGAGGAAACAGGGCACATAAGTCTTCAGTATCAGTGACAGCAAGTGAAATGAATGTGGACTCTGCAAGCTGTTGACTAGGAAGTCAATAATCTACTCCGATCACTCAGACGGCAACCATGAGCACACTGAATTTATAGGGCAAGGCATCTACTGATTGGAAGAAAGGTCGCCTTGTCAAACTACTGAAGAAAAGCAACTTAGGTCCTTGTAAGAACTGACGTAGAATCATAATCTTGTCGACGTCAACCAAAGTATGAAGTTGTATCATCCTGGAGAGACTAACTCTACCCGAACAAGTTGGATTCGTGAAAAGTAAATCATGTGCGGATCAAATTGCAACGCTACGTATTTTCAGTGAAAGCAACATACAACAGCAGTCAAACCTCTATCTCAGTTCTATCGACTTTGTAAAGACCTTTGATAACGTTGACTGGGAAGTGATTTGGAAAGTACTACGAAGTGCCCAAACCTTCATCAACCATATGGTGATGATTCTACATATCAACCAACCCACAACGGAAAATCCAATGATGTTTTTGAAATGAAGACAGAAGTAAGAAAAGCTTGACAATTATCGCTGATGACATTCCTGACAGTGATGAACTGAATCATGGGGAAGACTGTAGGGAGTAAGAAGATGAAAATACATTGAAATGACAAGGCGACTAGCGAAGATCTGTATTTCGCTGATGGTCTATGTTTAATATGGAGGACATACAGGTGAAAACCAACAAGTGGATAAAAGAAAAAGCAGCGAAGACAGGACTCCAAGTGAACTTTGGGAAATCACAGGTGATGCATATAACCAACCAAACAACCGACAGCAAGCAGCGATCATCAACAAAAGGAATTTGAAAGAGATCAATCCCTTCACTCATATAGACAACATCGTTTCAACTACAGGGGACGACATGGATGACGATGTCAAAACCAGTCAGGATCGGAAACACGAGACAGACAGATAGACAGACATTCAGTAGTCTGAAATCAGTGTAGAAATCTGCACTCACTGTGAGGAAAAAAATTGGGATTTCCAGCACCAGTGTTAAGTCACCCAGTCAGTCATAAACGTAGCGCGAGCGTCATCGAAAGCATTTTGAACAGGTTACTTCAGAATTTTATCAACAGTTGCCTTCTCTGGCTCCATAATGAATACCAGATGGCCAGCTGGCATGGATTCAAGATTGACACGGAGGAGATTTGTCAACTCATTGAGTCATAAACAGCCGAATTTATTGTGCAGTTGGTGTCGGTATTTCTTCTCTTCTCCTGCTCAGTCTTTGAACACATCAGAATGCAAAACGCAAGAATATTTGTCACACTGTAGCCTCAAATTCGAATCGTACTGCTGCGTGCATAGAAGTGATATGTGGCACAGTCGCTACATACTAATGTCTATCAGCCACTTTAGTTACTCGAAGTATTTGATTCATATACTGTTGAATATACAGTTTCTGTTAAACGAAGGTTTATATCCTCCTGTGCTTTCCAGCATTTTCAAATGAATATGAAAACCTACAGCCCTCATCAGACGGAATTAAGTACCAATTTTCAACACTAAATTCACTCAAGTCAGTTTTTCTGTATGATTCAAATTCTGGACTCTCACACTACAGAAAGCATTTTATACAAGCCATGACAGACTTTTATCATATTCCTGCTCCTTCATAATACACTGAGAATCCCATGGCTGGTTGGAAAAGATAAGCAGCAGAGGACCTTGTTAGGCACCGGACCAGCAAATATAACCTGTTATCTGACAAACATGCCAAAGAAAATCGAGATGGATTGGACATACGCTGAGACCATTGAGTGACATGTCATTTCAAGTAGTCCTTCCAGTTCAAAAGATACGACTTTGGAGTTTGAAGGAGGGCGGCTTATAGGAGATTATGTGAAAAGAAAATGAAAGGTTGTGAGAAATGGTGGAGCTAGGTGGAAAGACCGCAGAGAACCGAGTGAAATATATATGTCCTGCTGAAACTTTATGTTCCATAAGGAACCCAATGGGTGAATACTAATCATGAGTCAGTTTTCTCCATTGCAAAATATACTCAGTCATTTAACAGCTTTGGTATAAAATAGAAAACCAAATGAAACGTGACAAACCTGAGCAAAATTAAGGAAAAACGATCGTTCAGAAGCGAAAGGGGATTCCGAGCTTTCATTTGTTTGATTTGCAGGATTCTTCAACAGTCTTTGGTATGTCTGTAATGAATAAATGACAGGTAGAAACGTTTTGGTTAGAAGTCAGTAAATGATAATATAATATTAACCCATAACTTCTTAGTGGCCTTCTTTTCTTTCAGTTAGTTACTTCACTGCTTTTTATGCAATTGAAACCTTGATATCTTCAAAGAAAAAACGCAAATATCAATAATTGGATTTATCTGTTGAAATGACCAGCCTAATCACACAGTGGCTATGAATTCAAACGACTTTGAAACATTTTATACTTCTAGTTTTCAACTGGACAGTGGCTGGCCAAAATCTTTGCAATGTAATTTTAAGATGGTTTTGTAAAGCTTGCTGCTTCCAGTAATAGAATACAGTCGAATATTTACTGAAATTAGCTAGACCTTTTCATACACATTAATTTTCTACATTATCACCATAGTCGGGAGTGAAAGTGACTTCTGAATCAATCTAACTCAGTTCTCCATGGGGTTAAATTAGTTCTAGCATTAAGTTTGGCAATGTAGTGTACAGCCTTTCTGTATGAACTGGTTATGATTCCGGGAACACTTCTAGTTATAACAATGAAATCTGCTTCATCATAATTCTGAATTAGATCACCAGCTGGCAACCGTTAGAGAATTAACGAATTAAATCAGGGAATACTGGACATCTGTTTTCTCCTAGTTTGTGAGGCTGTAACTCAAATGGGTATCGAACCCAGGACCTTCAGGTTGCGAGGTAAGCTCATCGACCATTCAACTACTGGGATGGAATATAGTGATCCATGCATTCTAACTTCTGCCAATTCGTGACATATAACAGTCCTGCAGAGACACACTTCATTCATGTGAAATGTACTCCCTTTCAAATTAGGCAAATATCTGTCTGTGATCAGAGACATTGAAAAGTTTGTCACAACTATAGATTAACTGGCTAAAAATTTCAGTTTTTGGAAAATATGCTGCTGAATTAAAATTTGATAGTGGAACAATAAGGAAGAGACTAGGTGTTAACAGTTAGTATAAATGATGTTAGAATGTAAATTATACCGCATACATTAGCAACATTATGAAAACAGTACAATACATACCTTGAATGCTGCTCTCATACCACCGTTATCTGAAAGAATTTCTCCCTGAGCTTTAACTGCCGAGCTCTAACCATTCAAAATAGGTATAATATTAATAAACGCTATAGAATAACATTACTTTTAAATATACAAAGAAGGCGTAGTGAAATGCTTTATTTTATGAATTCCAGAGTTCAACGTACCCAAATGTGCCGAAAACGTCTTGTTGTCTTGCAGTAACATTAGAATGTGCTTATCATTCATGAAATCTAATCCAATCTCTGGCAGTATCAACCGAAAGTTTCATCCACCCCCAGGAGATTAACCCCAGGCAAGCTAAACACAGCAAAAGCTGACTTCGATTACATGCTTCAATTCGGGGGATTATTCGGCTCTCGAATAGTCAGTGGGCTTCTACACTACACATGGTGCCTAAGAAAAATTAAACTGTTTGGCGCTCTTTTGGTGATTATGAAGTTCTAAATAAGCAAATCGTTACAGATAGATACCAGCCACCCCACACTCAAGACCTTGCTAACAGTGTGTAAGGTGCCACAATATTTACTAAAACTCACTTGATTCAAGCCTATTACAATATTCCGGTGGCTAGGGAAGATATACCTAAAACAGGCATTACCACCCCGTTTGAATTGGATGAGTTTGTGTGGATGCGATTTCCTCTCCGGTATGCTGCACAGACTTTTCTATGATTAAGGAACTGCTGTTTGCCACACAGTAAACAGATGACCTACTCATTTCCGGACCAGGAATCATTGCACTGGAAGATCACACTTGGACACAATTAGGAAAATTAGAAGACAACGGCATGAAAATCGATCAAATTAATTGCGTTCTTGGGCAGAAACACAGTTCTTAGGACATTTTACTGACTGCACCGCAATCACATCAATGCTTAAAGAGGTGGATACCACCGAACAGTACCTCTTACTCACTTTCCTTCTGTTGTGCTTCCAAAAGTAAAAGTTTAGGAACGCATTTAGTCTTCTACAACATCACGAGCCTGCACTTGGTAATTTGAGCATTTATTTTAATAGAAAAGTCTGTTTCTAAATTGGTAAGTACGATGTGACTGTGTTCAACCAAATGATTCAAAGTGATCAGTGTAAAATAGTATGAAAGACATTGATCTCGGGCCTGATCTTAAGAGTAATGATTATGAAGTGTAATCTAAGAAGATAGCCATACTACAGACTGATCAATTCACTTCGGTAAAATGAACAACAGGAAAGATGGGACTGAAAGGCTGATGGACGGCTTCTTTGTGCGTTCGTACACACACTAGGTTCACGAGGTTTGACACAAATTTAAGAAACAATTAGTTCCAAAAGTAATGATGCTTCTTTTGAGAAGAATGAGTACCACACAGAAAAATAAATACAACCTAACGAATTATAATATTCTATTGAGCACAGGTAACAAACCCTTTCACTTGTAGATTCGTAATTTTTGTATTGTTTACGCAGGCATTCTGTTCTCTTCAAGATCGTGAGAAATCCTTGATGCGATATACTGTGTGGCCTTTGATTTCCGTTCTCATCGATAAGTATACCTTGATAAGCACAAGACATAGTTGGATTTATTTCATTGTTTTTGGTTCAGTAATATAATATGAAAATGAGTAGGGTTAAAGGCAACTTTACTTAGCACAGTGGGTGGGTGAATGGTCATTTAGTTATGCGTAATTCATATTCCACTAGATAGAAATGTGATAAGTCGCTTTGATTATGCTTGTCAACAGACTGACTGGTTCGAAACAATTCTAAAACTCAGGAGTAATGGTTTATTGAATACGACTGAGGTTAGTGAACCCATACATATGATGAATATGTGTAAACGTCTAGTGTGTAAATGTCAAGGAAAACTGGTGGTCATCTGAAGGCAGTTAGATAAAGTGAATTATTCAGACACTTTCCCAAATCTCTTCCTTTCAAGGCTGATTATGAACAGAGTTCAATTAGAGAACCATTGAAAACCAGCAGGGAGTACTCGGTAGCTGTTTCGTCTTAGTTTGCATCCATGACCCACAACGGATTGAACCATTTGTAAAGTACAGGCTGACATGTAACCAAAAGGTCATTGGTTCGAAATCCAGTGAGTGCCTACTTCCGAAAAATCTCAAACCGGGACGACACAAATGTCCAGTACTCCCTGTTGGTTTTCACTGGTTCTCTAATCAAGGTAAGTTTGGAATCAGTTTTATAATTATACAGAACCTGCAGAGCAACTCCTAAAAATGTCTTTCTTTTCGATAACTTCATCAGGTTTGACAGTTATCTATGCATAATAATGAAAGAATTACGGTTGGTAACAACATTCATGTTTAAATAACATTGGATCAATAATAATATCAATGGATTACAGTTCAATAGCATCTGTAAGCATGATAACATGCATCAACATAAACCTACACTGAATATCAGACAAACTAGGGAAATAATACTACAGAATTCATGAATTTATAGGCTCGAAAGAAGGCCAGGAAAGTAGTAGTGTAGTGGTTGGACCTGTTACTTTTACATACAGAGCACCGGTTGTTTTAGAAGGATCGTAACAGCCTTGTTCGCCGATATGGTTCTCGATTAGATTGTTCACAGAGTTTCGTGTTGCTAATGGTATTTGGCTGGGTGGCCAACAATCTGATATTCAGTATGGAGCCAGAGAAGGCAACTGTTGATAAAAGTCTGCAGTGGGCTACTAAAAATGCTTTTGGTAACGCCCACGCTAAGTTTGTGACACACATGGAAGAACTGACTGACTGAGTGACTTAAAACTGGTGCTGAAAATCCTAATTTTGTCCCTCATGGTGAGTGCAGATTGCTACACTGAATTCAGACTACTGACTGTCTGTCTGTTTGTCTGCCTATCTCGTGTTTCCGATTCTGACTGGTTTTGACATCGTTATCCATGTGGTCACCTGTAGTTGAAACGATGCTGTCTTTGTTGATGATAATTGCTGCTTGTTTTTGTTTGTTGATTGAGTGGTAGGTTGATTTGTTGTTCATTTGGTTTTCTGCATTACTCAGGTTTTCTCTGTGTTCACTTGGAGTTCTCTCTTTGCTCGAGCAACATTAAATCACCTTAAATCACACCCCGGTTAGTGAAATCGTCAAGCTTTCAGTAAAGAAAGCCAACCAACGTAAAGAATAACATGGTAAAGCTACCCATGACTGTTTGTGAATGAAATGGTGGCAGCTGGTCTACATGATACAGCAATGATGAAGCTAATTAAGTTACTGTTAATGTACTAAGTGAAAGAACTACAAGAAGTCTACCAGAGAGAATAGAAATGTGCCAAGATTTGAGAGAAGGCCATACCTTCACAAACATTTAAATCATAATTATAACAATGTCACTTATACCAGCCACAAAAATAAGGGCTCACGAAACATTCTGAATAAAAGAAACAACTTCATTTCCTCATGGTTTCTGTGGTGCTTTTCTCAGTAAATCTGTTAGTTTTTTATATCTTTACAAAAGCACATAAAAAATTGTCTAACGCATTCTTGGAAAACTCAGTTTGTTGTCTAGTTACCTGATATATCAATAGCATGCAACAATTCATGAGCAATAAGCCAACCCAATGCTCCATATCTTTCAGGAATACTTTGATTATCATGAAAATATGGTGGATTCAGAAGAGCGCCATTAATAAGTATGCGGTTATCGAAGGATGTATAATAAGCTCCAGGTACAAAGGTCGGTTTTCTTGCATCCGAACTGCTCATAGAAAACAAAAAGTGTATTATCATAAAGTATCTAATTTTATGGTAATTTAGAAGAAATGAAATACGTTCTGTGAATCGAATTAGCCACTCGTAGAATAAATTCTCCATTCAAATATTACTCAGTTCAAAGTGAAGTTTTACCGCAGTGTTTCCATTAGAAACTGAAACTGTTCACATCACAGTATGTGATCTACTTGACACCATCTCGCCTAAGTAGCTGTCTGGAATTCTAGTGGTTCCGAAAATCTGATCTGATTCATTTCGGGCACACTGCTAATAAGCTCAGCTCCGAACGAGGGAAAGAAGCATCCAGTGTTTAAATCACTTCGATCCTCTTGGCTAGCAAACACTACCAGTTGACGTGAGTGGCATCCACCTACTCAAATCAATCACCCAGTAGCAGTTGGCGTCAAGTATGTTGTTTCTGATGGATTGACTGAGTTTCAATGTAGCACTTTGCACAGAAATGAAAACCGCTTGAATTCCCGCACACCATGTAACACACAAACGTGGAGAAACAAAATCCCGAGAATAATAGTAAACGGAAATGTGTAAGAGTACGAATAATTACATGGAGAAACACAAAGACTTAATGGATCTAGGAGTTCATAGAATGTGAATGCATCTACACCAGTAAGAATTATATTAAGCCGAGTCACCAACAGTTATCACCCATGGGTTTATAGCAATATCGAGGACCCCAGGCAGGCAGGCAGGCAGGTAGTCTACACCTGTTTATGTGACTGGATCAAACTAACCACCAGCAATTTCATGGATTGATGCCAGGTAACAATCTGACTACTTGTAACACTTTCTCAGCCTAATGGAATTTCGGCTAACGTTGCTCATCAAAGAAGGCGATGTCTCGGTATGCACAACACATGTTCTTGCCATTTCAGTCTGCGTAGCTCCGTAATCTCATCAGTTCACTTTCTCACCTTACCTAGTAATCCACACATAACCACATTATTTAGGACCATGTTATACCAGTTAACATTGTGGTCGAAGACAGCTAGCTACTTTGTATCTTCTGGTGACTTGCTTAATTCACTAGAATACATAATTTTTTCGTCTATTTAGATACGCCTTGTTGACTGGTCATTGCCAACAGACACAAAACCTAGGTCAGGTACGGCTTCCTATCGATTGCCTCCAACCATCTAATAACAACAATTCAGAGTGTACTATGATGGAGAATCCTCTAGCATGACTTGACCTATAGAATTCAGTCTACACCAAATGCAGGACTAGAATCATGAGACTAGTTGCTTTCCATCCAGTGTCCAATCAAAGAAATTAAAGGTCATTATTTCTTTTTATAAAAACAAGGTTAATCTAAGACATTTTTTAAACTTCTAAAATCAATAACACCTTACTATTCTTTCACACCGAATAGTGCTTTTCGATAACCGTCTAGGATTATCGCCTTGAAGGCATAGTATTCATTCAGAATGTAGGTGTTTTCACGAATTGGATACTGAAATTGTTGCAAAAAGTTAGATAAAACGATGAAATATAACAATAAACTTTTAGAATCATTTGTAAATATGATTTACCATTCCAGATCGCCGATTATATACATTATATTCAAATGGAGAGAAAACATGTTAAATATGCCAACTAAACATTGAAGTCTTCGTGTGAAATAAGAACCAGCCATTTCAGTGAATTTTTATTTGTGTGATGCCATTTTGTCAGCAATTACTTTCTGTATGTATTAAACTTGTCATTCATTGGTTATCTGAAATAACAAGCTGGATAGATATAGTTTTGTGTCATTGACATCTCTGCTCGACGAATAAACTTTAGACAATCAAAACAAGTGATTCAGCGAAGAGACTCTTTTCAACGAATTTATCATCAAGCTGTACATTCGCATATATATACATATGGTTATGACACCTTTATTATTTGTAATAGTGACTGTAACTTGAATAATATATTAAATTTATTTAATGGTTGCCATCCTGCGATAAAATTCACACTCGAAATGGAGAACGAGTCTAGTATTCATTTCTTCGGTGTGAACTAATCAAGGAGGACCGATGGAACTCCGAAGAGATCGATTTATCGAAAGCTGTCATTTAATGGCCAGCTGACACATTTCTACAGCTGGGTACTCACTGGTCGAAAACGAAACCTAGTCCGGTCGCTTGCCACTCACATTCGGCGCATATGTAGCCCTGATACTGTGGAAAATGAATGATACCTTTTGAGGAAATTCCTAATAGAGAAGAATATACATTCAAATACCATAAAATGTGACTTATCATCCGTACCCAAGAAAATACTTTACATGAGATTGGAATTTAAAGGGGACTTAGCTTCCGATATCATGAAACGAAGGATATCACAGTCCCTGAACAGACTGTTCCCTCCTGAATCACTGAGAATATCCTTTATTAGTCGACCATTACTGTTCAATAACCTGAAGGACAAGATCCCGCTGTTGACCAACTCTGTGTGTGTTTATAAATTCACCTGCTAGTGTGGAGCTAGGTATATTGGTCGTCCAACTCGAGTTTTGTCCAAGGGGGTGCAAGAACACTATCCTGCATGGTTACGAAGAGGTGAAAGTGGAGCAATAAGAAGCGCGATCATTGAACATCTGGTCGATAATGATCACCCTATCTCTATAGACTCCACCTTCAAAGTAATCTACAAGGCAAAGAGTAATCCCTACGTACCCGACTCATCTGTATTGCTGAAGCCATCTTTGGCTATCGAAACAGAAAAGCCAGATCTCTATGTATAGGAAATGTTCATTCAACCCCTCCAACTTTCATGGTCTTTATCCCTCTATGCTAAAGTATGGTAATCCCCA